TCATAATTATTAATCAAAATAACAGAATCATACGATGTTCTGACTAAGAATAAGTCTAAATTTAGTGTTGTTCTTATTTGATTAACAAAGAAAACAAATAAAATAATTCAGACTTGATTTGGTTAATCGATTCCATTATCTGATTTGCATGTGTGAGATGATATGTGTCTCATGCAAGCTACATGCATCCAAATATGCTTACCCAATCCCTCCATTGAATCTAAATTTGGAGAGACAAACAATCCCCTAATATGTTTTAATTATGATTTCACTGATAACAGACAATAGATTATTATAAAAAAAATACTATTTTGCACCATACAATCCTATTTTTTTTACAAAAAATTTCACAGATTCTCTAAGATTTATATGTTCTTATATGCACTTTACCTTATCTTTTCTACATTAATTATTCTACAATTTATAATGAAAAACGTTGAAAGAATTACTATTTTGACAAGATCTTCATCATTAGATGTTGAAATTGATGCACCTCCAAGCTATCAAGAAGCTGTTTCTTTAACATCTGGTATATAAATCTAATAAATTTTACTACTTTTAACTTGTAATTTTTAACAAATTAAACAAAAATAAATCTAACAAAATGGCTTTTCAACCTGTTGTCGAATAAACTGAATTAATTACTTTAGAAGAAGTTGCTTCTAGTAATGGTATATTTATTATTTAATTAATAATTTATTATTATTTTATTAACAAATTTACTTTATTTTAGATACAACAACTTATCTATCTCAAAGATTAGAAAGAGAATTTGGAGAATATAAAAACAGAATCCGTTCTCTTGAACAAATAGTTATGACTTTAAATAACACATTAAAGTCTTTAATGAATATTTTAATATTTTATAAAAATGTTATCTTTTTTTTAATATTTATTAATTTTATTATTCTTATTTGCTTTGGTATATATATTTACTATACACAGAATATACATATTTTAAATATTGACCTTCTCAGAAGAGAGGTTGAAACTAATTTTAAGATAGATACTTATAATCAAAATGTAGATAGAGTAGTTAATAATATGTATAGAATTGTTGATGAGTTGTTGGTAACTAAGATTAAGAAACATGAATTGTAAAGAGAATAAACAGTTAAGCTGTTGTTTTCTGATTAGTTTTCACTATTCACGATGTGTGTGAAACTAAAATTTTTAGTTTCACATACATCTTGAACAGTGAAAATTACACTGTAATTTATATTTATTTTCTTTAATAAAATTTATTGAAATTTAAAACAATAAAATTGGGCGGGTTTGCCTTTGGGAGTGGTGAGCCCCTTTGCTACTGTCCTCGCAATTGCTTATAATGTTGTTGGTGTAATTATGCGCATGTATTGAGGGCTTTTGTTGTTTACATTGATTAATCTACGATGCGGGTCCCTCAATTAATGATGAATGCTGTTGTTATCGCCTTCCATATCATTGATAAATCGTGTAAAACAAACGCAGCTCTCAATATGTATGCATAATTATTTTTATAAAATTATCTTTCTTTTGCTTGATCTCCTATCAGTTTGTAATAGTGGGATTAAGAAAACCAGTTTGAAAGAAACTAAAAATAAACAGATAAAGCACGTAAAGAACCAATCAAAATTATGATAACAAAGATAATTTGTGAGATTTACAAAGGAAAAAGTTTATTTAACAGCAAGAATTTAAATGAAAACAACCCATTCTTTCTTGAATTTTACAAATACAACACACAACACACAACATGAAATTCTTTAAAAAACTCTTAAAACTCTTTAAGAAAACCCAAAAACAAAACTCTTGGAATGAAAAAAAATGGAATGATATTTGTGTTAAAGTTAAGTCTTGGCCATCAAGTTCAACCGGCAATAAAGAAGAATCATTTGAAAACCCTTTACTACAAGTTGAATTTGAAAATCAATTCTCTGTAATTGATTTAAAATTTTACACAAGATACGAAGAATATGTTGATGATATGAGAAGAGAAATCCCTG